AACCTCGACATGAGGAATAAAACAGACAATTCATCATTTAGTTTGTTTGTTATGATGCCATAATGTCCTTTTTTATTGCACACTGCACCATGAGTACAGTTCTATTGCTTTGTGTTCAAACCGAAAAGTTCAGTGCCTTCCCGAAGTACACATCCCACACATTTATAACTCCTTTACAGATCTGAAGGAGGGTTTTTAGTCTATTTAAGCTTTACATACAAATTCGAAATCATCCCAAATTGTTCTTGGTATATCCAACGAACACGCCGTTTCAGAAAAACAGACCGTGAAAGAGTGTCCAGTCACACATTCAATATTTGGGTTTGACAACTGTACTGTATTTACTAACAGATGTGACACTAAATTGTACTGTACATACAACAGAAAACAAAATTAATAATTTTTAAAAAAAACTTGCAGGCCCGCACAGAATCAGTTTCATTGATTTTCACAAAATTGGAATCTACCTAAGTTATATTTATGAAGTATTTTGGCAAGTGAGTTGATAATCTCAGATGTGTTTAACAGATTTTTGCAGATTTTTCTTTCCAGAAAAATGTGGGGAAAAGTCTGCAGATTCTGTACAGGCCTGGTCTTGAGTCGTGCCTGTAACCATAAGTGATGGATATAACCACAGTAAACATCAAGATTTTGTATTGTTTTGATTTAGTTTGATTAATCTAAACCATTTTTGGCAACTCCTTCTGCCTTTACTATAGATGAGTCAAACATCTTGTTTTTCTCAATTACCTTGTCTGCCCAGACACTTAGAAATAGTTTACCCAAAAATGAAAATTTGCTGAAAATCTACTCACCCTCAGGCCATTCAAGATGTAGATGAGTTTGTTTCTTCATTAGAACAGATGTAGCATTACATCACTTGCTCACCAATGGATCCTCTGTAGTGAATGGGTGCCGTCAGAAACGAGAGTCCAAACAGCTGATAAAAACATCACAATAATCAACAAGTAATCCACAAGATTCCAGTCCATCAATTAATGTCTTAAAAAGCAAAAGGTTGTGTGTTTATAAGAAAAAATAATGCCTTTTCCAGTAAAAAAAGTCCATCCCCTGTTGTCCTTTATTATGGACGGATATTTTGGACAGAAGTTAAAAACACCACAATGATTGATTTGTTTCTTACAAACGTGCAACTTTTCGATTCACAAGATGTTAATTGATGAACTGGAGTGGTGTGGATTATTGTGATGTTTTATCAGCTGTTTGGACTCTCATTCTGACGGCACCCATTCACTGCAGAGGATCCATTGGGGAGCGAGTGATGAAATGCTACATTTCTCCAAATCTGTTCCTATGAAGAAGCACCTTGTATTGCCTGAGAAATCATTTTAAAATCAGCACATTTCTTTTTTGGGTGAACTGTTCCTTTAAAAGGATTTATATCTTGTTCTCTGCCTACATAGTACACACTCCACTTTTTACCGTCTGTAGTTCTGCTCACACATCAACCGAACTCGATGTTGAATTCAGATGTGACAACTGTAAGTGTGAAGTAGTCACTTTGGTTATAGGATACGGATGGTTGTCACTTTCTTTCAAAACCGAACTGTTTATGAACCTAACCGTATTTAGCACTCCAAACAGGGCTGACATCCATATTCTGCCGTGGTGTGAAGATTTGTCAAACATGAACAGATCTCTGAAAGTTTGCCTTAAACTTTCCCACGCAGTGACGCGTTTAGACACAGCCGGCTGCTTTTGCAGTAAGACCCTCGATCCCCACTCTGAAATGAAATTGCTGCAGTGGGTGAGGGAGGCTCGCTCTCCATTTGTGTTTCTGCGCAGACTGCACACTAAGCCACTCAGACGAAACCGCCACATTTGACTTTTTCTTCTCTCCAAAACATTCTTAAAGAGGCTAAGGCTGGAACGAGGACCCCTAGCAACTTAACGTGCAGAAAGAGGATGTGTGCAGATTTTGGGAGGGTGTTGGACTGTAAGCCTCACCACAAAAGCATTGAGTTGCTGAGTATGGGGCTAGAGTTTATGGGGCAGTGAAATACATTACATAAACCACTCTGTTTGTCTCTCTACACTCGCTGACTTAATGACTTTCTTTGTTACAAATGTGGACTGTATCTGCTCTCCTCATATTGCCTCATATGTTTTTTGTAGTTCTTTCATTGGTAATTTATACAAAGAGCAAAATTTAGATTTATTGATCTTACCTGTGTAAAAGTGACCGCCACAGTACTAATTTCCAGGGTGTTGCTATGCAGTTGCGTGCGAAGATTTTCTGGGTGATTTTTTGGAATGTTACTGTTCTGTTGCTAGGATGTGGTCGGTTTCCATGGTGTTGCTATGCAGTTGCGAAGATGTTCTGGGTGATTTTTGGAATGTTACTGTGCTGTTGCTAAGATGTTGTGGGTGGTTTACAGGATGTTTCTATTCAGTTATGAAGATTTTCTGGGTGATTTTTGGAATGTTACTGCGCTGTTGCTAAGATGTTCTGGGTGGTTTCCATGGTGTTGCTATGCAGTTGCGAAGATGTTCTGGGTGATTTTTGGAATGTTACTGTGCTGTTGCTAGGGTGTGGTTGGTTTCCATAGTGTTGCCATGCAGTTGTGAAGATGTTCTCCATGTTTTTCAGAATGTTACTGTGCTGTTTCTAAGAGGTTGTGGGTGGTTTCCAGGGTGTTGCTATGCAGTCACAAAGATGTTCTGGGTGGTTTTTAGAATGTTACTGTGCTGTTTTCAGGATGTGGTTGGTTTACAGGGTGTTGCTATGCAGTTGCAAAGATGATCTTTGTGGTTTTTTGAATGTTACTGTGCTGTTGTTAGGGTGTGGTTGGCTTCCAGGGTGTTGCTATGCAGTTGCAAAGATGTTCTGGGTGGTTTTTAGAATGGTACTGTGCTGTTGTTAGGATGTGGTTGGTTTCCAGGGTGTTGCTATGGATGCGTTAGACTTTTACATTGTCCGTAATTTTGACAGACAGGGTCGTACAAATTCCGTCATAATCTATTATTACCCGTCATTTTAATTTCCATATTTTAATTATAATAACACATTTAATTGCTTTTATTTTTGTTCACATTTTCATTTTTAATAATGAACCTACAGGACGAGCATATAGGTTTATGCATTTATTTATTTATGAAGAGAACAGATGAACAGATGAGACTGTGCGTCACTTTTCATGTTCAACACACACCCCGCAGTGACAGTGGAGGCCACTAAAAACAACAAGATATGCCAGGGCTGGGTAAAAAATCGATTTCTCAATTTTAATAGATTTTCATTTTTATGAACCAATATCGATTCTTAAATCCCAATCTATGCTGTTTTCAGTTGCTGAATGAACAGTAGGCTAGTTTAGTGCGCCTCATCCAATAAATCGCAATAGGCTAAGCTTTGAGTGTTTCTTTAGTATGTCACTATGCAGGTGCTAACGTGTCGTGGGTGGTTTCCAGAGCATTTTATGCAGTTGAGAGTGTCAAGAGTGGTTTTTTACCATGTTACTGTGCAGTTACCAGGGTGATTTGGATGGTTGCCAGGGTGTAGCTATGCAGTTCCTAAGGTGTTCCTAAGTGTTGTTTAGCATGTTTTTAAGGCGTTCCGGGCAGTTTCCAGGGTGTTGCTATGCAATTGTTCAGATTTTTAAGTGGCTTTTAGCAAGTTACTATGCAGGTGCTGCAGATGTTCAGAGTGTCTTTTAAATGTTGTTCTGAGTTTTGAGTTAGGCTACCTAATGACATTTACTTAGGGTTAGGGGTTTGTTGAAATTCGTAATCCTATTGCTCACCAGTAGTAATCACTAATTAGTGGCCGAAAAGGGAAAAAAACTGAGGAAATGTATAGTTTATATGGGCTCAGCTGCATATTGATTGTACATATTTGTGTAGTTGCACTAGATCTCTTGTGTTTCTGTGAGCAAGTCCGTCTCCATTGGAAGAATTAAATCGGTCATTGATTGGTTATGTTTTTCTGTCATCCGATTTTCTCGTTCCTGCTGTGTGTTCACATCCTGGTACTGTTAACTGACACACAAATGATTTCCTTTGCTGCCATGCTGATGAATTATGAATGTTGAGAGCTTTAGCATTTCTAGGTTACTGTTACATGTTTGTTTACTATGTCTCTTTTTGACGAGCCAAGAATGGATGGTCCTACAATAACATGATACAGTTTGACACTTGCATTAGGTAGCGTGATATTGTACAGAATCCCTTGGGCCCGTGCGATGACCGCAAGCTAGGTAAACTTTTAACATTTTAGCTAAAAGTAAACTTTTAACATTTTAGCTCTCCTCAATCTTCAGCTCGTCAAAGAATCCGAGCGTCCCACTCTCTTCCAAACGAACCAACAGAAAACATAGAAATGTATAAAACTTCTGAAATGTAAAAAAAGACGTCTGTAAAAAATGGTCTGGTCCCCTCCCGCCCAAAGGCTCCGAGGAACCTCTCGTATTAAAACTATAGGACAAATGATAAGGCACAACAAGCCGATATCGAACAACAGAATACATTTTACATTCACTGCATCACAAAGCATTTCACACATCAGAAACGCAACCGATTATCACCAGTTTTCCACTGAAATGGCACCGGTGCCAGTGTTGGGGTAGACAGAAATATTAACCAGCACAACTGTTTTTAAAATTGATGATAAGAAATGTTCCTTAAGCAGCAAATCTGCATATTAGAATGATTTCTGAAGGATCATGTGACACTAAAGACTGGAGTAATGATGCTGAAAATTCAGCTTTGCCATTTAAGAAATAAATCACATTTTAAAATCTATTAATATAGAAAAGTTATTTTAAATTGTAATAATGTTTCACAATGTTAATGTATTTTTGATTAAATGCAGCCTTGGTGAGCAAAAGATAATACAAATATTTGCAATTTCAGTTTTTCTCATTACTTTACAATTACTTACAATTCCAGTTTATGTTTTAAAAAATGTATTTGGAGAGGACATTATGCTATTGTTTGCGCTCTGACAATACCGTTTCTTCAATACATTGTTTACCGCAATGTAAACATATATAACATCTCGTAGCACTGCATATCTGTGCTGCAACATAAACATGCATCACAGCCAATCCGAACGCAACGCTTATGAGATGCAGTTAATGTAATATGCTTTCAGATGTCATGACAGTGTACTAAAATGGTGTTGTAACCTCTGGCGTACTGCCACTGCCTGTGATGAGACGACGTGAAGTTTGAGGTGCGAGCGCTCACTCGATGGTTTTCCTGCTCTGGACCTCATGACCAGCGTAGACTCTAATACTGTCAACTTGTGCTGTTAAAACCATCGGTTAAGATTCTGTACAAAATGTACAACATAGAAATACATACGTACAGTTTAGGTTATTACAATGAGGCCTACAAAAGAAAACGACCACAGATTCCAGTGTCCAGTATTGCAGGCGGAGCCGTTTCTGTCAGTCTCTACTGTGGCCCAGTCAAAAACTGGTTTGAGTTTTACATCATCACATCATGGCCGTTTACAACATACACAATAAAGCTATCAAAACAAAAGTTTCCAAAATCTCTCTATAAAGGATTTTTTTGTTCTTTTGTTTCTCTACAACAATGTCAGTTAATATTTACAACAAGCCCTAAAAATAATTTAATAATCATACACACTTTCTACACACTGTAGGCAGACCTAGTTCTTGGGCAGAGCACAATGTGTGCTGATTGGCTAACAGTCGCTAAGGAGCAGGAGTCTGGAGGAAGAGGCGAGGTCACAGAGAGGAAGTGGTGGAGTCGACGATCTCTCTGCCGTTGCACACCGTCGGAACGCAGTGGGCGCTAACAGATGCTAAAGAAAGAGAGCAAAAGGAGAATTAGACAAATGAAAAGAAGGTATGGCCACAGGAATGTAAAAGAGGTGGGACCTAACAAGTCATCATTTTATATATTTGTAACTGCATATATTATAATTTAGTTATTTTTGCAAGAAATTCATCCCAAAGTTTTTTTTTATATATATTACAAAACCATGCGGTAATGCATATTATTTTTGATTATCTAGTAAAATATTTTTTTTCACTAATTAAAAATGTAGATTTCTTCTTTTCTTTTTTTTTATAGAATTTAGTTTTTTACTTGAGTGAAGGAGCAAGAAAGAAAGAAAGCACAAGTAGAATTGAATAAAAAAGTAATGGACAAAGGGGTGTAAAAGAGGTGGGTAACTGCATGTATCATAGTTTAGTCATTTTCATGATAGTGTGTAAACAATAAATACATTTAACAAATAATTATAAAGAAATTGCAAGAAAAACTGAAATAGCATTAGAAATAGTAAGGACCAATTGTCACTAGTAAGGACCAATTGTCACTATTAATTAGTTGCTCATTAGCATGCATATCACTAGCATATTGGCTGTATATTAGTACTCATAAAACACATTTTAATGCCTTTTTCTGCATGACCATATTTTAGATCTCTTAATCCTGCCCCATACCTAAACTTAACAACTACCTTACTAACTACTGATAAGCAACAAATTAGGATGTTTTTGAGGCAACAGTCATAGTTAAAAGTTAGTTAATAGTGAGAATTAGACCTTAAGATAAAGTGTGACCATAAAGTAGGTATAGGGCTATCACTTATTAAGATATTCCATGCATATTGAAAATGTTCATACTGTGTTGACATGGTATACTGTATACTGCAGCAATAGTGATGTATGTTAAAATGCAATTCCAAACACAGCCAGGTTTACAGATGGCCAACTTCACATAAAAGGCACCACAAACTTTTCACAAAGTTCACCGACATGGTTTCCCCCCGATTTGATTCTCCTCTGATCACCTCCCTCCCCCTCTTTTCCCTCCTAGCGGGTGACTGTATATGATGTCTTCTCTTCTTTGCAGTGTCTGTCATGTTATTTATTAGATGGATGAAATGTAAATAAAGATGAAACTGTTTACCTGATCTGTTTTTGTGCTTGTGAATAATGCATTAGAGCAGAAGCTGTTGTCTGCGCACACATGGGCTTATTACCCAGCATCAGGCGGCAGAACGGCTGCTCAGCCGCACATTTCCTCTGGGCTCTTACACAACTGTTCTGTGTGACAATGCTGACATGAAAATCCTCAGTGTAAATTGGCATATCAAAGGGCTGTAATCACTACAAACCATCTGTGTAAGCACTGCGGAAAGTTCAACACTGGCAACCAGTTGGCCTTGTGTGTCACTTGTATTTAGAGCACAAATGAATTGCTTTGCAGCATTTTCTCATTTTGTGCTGTTTTTTTGTGGGTCAAAGCGGTTGCAAGTTTTTGATTGTGATTCATGATTGTGTAAGTATATAATAAATGATCACATTAGACCCATCACGCCACAACCATGGCAATAAAATCAACAATAACAAAAATAGTTGCTAAGGCATTATTAAGGTGTTTTAAGTGTGTTTAAGCCTGTGATAGAATTAACTATTTTATAAATGAGTAATATGTGCTCCCTAGACTTAAATCGATTGATTGATTAATTGATTGATTGAGGGAATTTTTTATATTTATTTTATACTTTATTTTGACCCTAGTTGTCCTGGGTAGTTGCCAGTCAGTCTGCTAAGTTGAAATTGAAAGTCTAATTGCTTAGAAAAGTAATAAGTAGATATATATTTATTTTAGTTTTGTGCGTCCCAGGCCCTGCTCTTGACCCTGATTTAAACGCATTGGGTGTCCTTGGTAGTTGCCAGATAATCTATATCAATATATATATATATATATATATTTTTTTTTTTTCTCTCTCAAACAACTGTATTATTCATGTCAATGGCATAAATGTGACGGTAACACTTTAGTATAGGGACCAATTCTCACTGTTAACTAGTTGCTTATTAGCATGCCTGTTATTAACATATTGGCTGTTTATTAGTACTTATAAAGTACATATTCTGCATGA